TCGGATCCCATGTAGAGACCGGTTCCTGCTCACTGGCTGAGCGAGGTGCGGACGCAACACTGAGGGTTGCGATCCCGTTGCCGGTCCCCGGTACGGGCGCGACACCGAGGGTTGTGATCCCGTTACCGGTCAGTAAAAAAGACAAAAAGGAAAAAAAAAATCTCATTCACAATAATTTGTTTTAGAAAACTATATAATATCTAGAAGCGAAGCAACAAAAAATACATAAGCCCTGTATGAAGATATAAGGAAAACCATAACATTTCACTAAAAGACACACATATGCAATATTAATAAATGGAATATCCCAATATATTCCTGAACAGGAAGACTCACTATTGCAAAGAGTTAATTCCCCAAATTAACCTAAAATTTCATTGCAATTTCAATCACAATTCCAGAGGATTTTTTAACAGTATTTGACAAATCATTTCTAAAGTTCATCTAGAAGAACAGATACACAATGAAGAGGCAAGAATTCTTGAACAAGAAGGCCAGGAGAAAAATCATGTTCTATCAAAATCCACAACCTATTATAAAGGAATAGTAATTCCAACTAGTGCAGAAATAGACAAATAAATAAATGGAAGAACAGATAAGCTAGAAATAGTTTGATTTATTGATAGGTTTTTAATGTATAATAAAGCGGCTTTTGAAGTAGTGGAGGGAAAAATGGACTTTTCAAAAAATGGTGTTAGGATGCATGGTTATTCATTCAGCAAATACTACAATGCCATAGCTTATCATAACAGACAAGACCAGAGATAAATTAGAAAAAGAGAAGAATTTTATGTAATGAATGCCTAGAGAACAGAGTGTCGAGAAGAAAGGGACAATAACCATCAGGAGTTACAAAAATGTCAAAAAAGAAAATGACCAAGAAAACAAAAAATGACAAGAAAGGCACTGAAGAAGCTAAAAATCCTGCATTATTCAAGCAGTAGTGATGAAAAAGAGACCACATTCTCAATGAGCCTGAGAGACAAGCTGGAAGAAAAGTGTTTTTTAAACTCTAACTCACTGTAGAGCTCTGGACTAAACGTGAACTTAAACTTCTTGAAAGCGGAGTCCATTATAATTTTTGAGTTCCACTGTATGGTTCCTTATAATAGGAGATTGAGTTCGTGCTTAGTACAAGACTCCACAGTATTATGTGACCTGTAGTTTTCCTAAATTGTTTAAATAACAGGTCATGTGATAACAGGGTCTCTACTTTGTTAATTATTTAAATTGGTAGATATCCTAATTGTAAATTACTTATTCATGCAAGTGATCTCTATCTTTCAGTTTAATCATTCAGCATTTCACATGACTGCTAATCCCAGAATAGGACAATGTCACCATTCTGGAGAAAACAACAGGTAGAAAAAGGCTTTAAAAGGATAGAGCTTTATGAGATTTCACTGAAATTGGGTACATTTTACATTTATATGGGTTAAAAAGATTATGATATTTTATCCTGCTTCAAAACTTTTTGGGGATTCACTTTACCAATAATAGAAAATCTAAACCACATGATAGAATATTCTAGGCTTTTCACAATTTTGCCTGCACCACATTTCTTGATCTTCCTCTGCCTTTTCCTGACCCCCTGACTCTCCATTCTATATGCCCACCTTCTCACTTTCAAAGTAGGCTATGTTCTCAAGGTTTGGGGGCAATATTATCTCCAGAGAGTTGAGTCACTAAATACTACCTTGGTATCTCCTGCAATTCCTCACTACATTATTAACCATGATCTTCAACAAAATCTAATCCAAATCTAATATTTGTTGCAATACCCACCAGGGCATTCTTAAGGATAAACTAAACATTCACACTCATAAAACTACCTTAGGCTGCCCTTGGCATCAGATTCACTTAGAAAGATGTGGGACAGGAAACATACCACACCAGCAGAGCACAGAGAAGCATTCTCCTTCAATGTTAGATCTTGCAGCAGTTTACTCAGCTGTCCAGGAACTATTCTCTTTACCTCCTCCCCACCTCCCTGAAGAAGCAGGTCTAAGAAGGTGAGATTCATATTGGGCAGGTTTTCCCACAAGAGCCAATATCTCTTGCAACAATCCCAAAGGCACTGTTTCTAGGGCCCCTGCAAAGGACATGTCAATGTCACTATACTAAGGGAAGCCCAAAGACATGGCCTACAACACGTTTCTAGCTCTTCTAGTTTAAATGCATTTTACCAATCCCCGGCCATTTTGATCACAAGCAATGTTGGTCCATTATATCATAATGGACCCTCCACCTATGGCTAGTTTCTGGGGAAATAAAGCTAGAAGGCTAA